CAAATGAAGTGACATACTAGACTACTTTTAAGATAGTTCAGTGAAGGGTTGGGGTTGTGGCTCACGGTAGAGCGCTTGCCTAGCATGTGAGAGGCACCGGGTTCAATTCTCAGCACCGCATATAAACAAATAAATGAATAAAGGTCCATTAATAATTAATAAAAATTTAAAAATTCACTGAGAGCTCAGTAGTGGGGTGCTTGGCTTGCATGTGTTATGCCTTGGGTTCGATTCCTAGCACAGAAAGAAAAAAGGAAAACAAACACCAACAAAAAAAATTCGCCAAATAGGGTTGAAATATCCAGTATCATATATTGCAGTATAGTACTAAGGAGAGGAACACAGACTCTGGAGTCTGGTTTGATATGGAGAGCGGCAAATGAAGTCATGGCCTCTGACTCTCTCCTGGCTGTGTTTGAGCTAGAAGCTGCTTGTGCGAAGATGTAGGTCAAAATGGCCCAGTTATGACACTATGAAGGCAGCGCAAAGAGGAAAGTTCATTGCATTAAGCTCTTTCATTAAAAAAAGAAAACAAACATCAACAAATAAACAACCTGACATTACATCTCAAAGCCCTAGAAAAAGAAAAACAAATCAACACTAAAAGCAGTTGAAGACAGGAAACAATTAAAATCAGGGTGGAAATCAATGAAATTGAAAAAAAAAAATTCAAAAAATAGACAAAACAAAAAGCTGGTTCTTTGAAAAAATAAATAAAATTGATAAACCCCTTAACACTCTAACGAAAAGAGAGAGAAAATGGAAATTACTAAAATTTGTGATGAAAAAGGAAACGTCATGACAGACACCACTGGTATACAGAAGATAATTAGAAACTATTTTGAAAATTTATACTCCAGTAAAATAGAAAATCCTGAAGCCACCAACAAATTTCTAGAGGCATATGATCTACCCAAACTGAATCAGGAGGACATACACAATTTAAATAGATGAATTTCAAGCAAGGAAAGAGAAGACACCATCAAAAGTCTACCAACCAAGAAAAGCTCAGGACCAGATGGATTCTCAGCCAAGTTCTACAAGACCTTCAGAGAAGAATTAATACCAATATTCAATTATTCCACGAAATAGAAAAGCAGGAAATCCTTCCAGACTCATTCTACAAAGCTAGTATCACCCCAATACCAAAGCCAGACAAAGACTCATCAAAGAAAGAAAACTTCAGACCAATATCCTTGATGAACAGAGACACAAAAAAAAATCTTAATAAAATTCTGGCAAATTTCATACAAAAACATATTAAAAAGATAGTGCACCATGATCAAGTGGGGTTCATCCCACGGATGCAAGGTTGGTTCAACATACGGAAATCAATAAATGTAATTCACCACATCAATAGACTCAAAGATAAAAATTATATGATTATATCAATAGATCCAGAGAAAGTATTTGACAAAATACTTCCATGTTCAAAATACTAGAAAAACTAGGAACATACCTCAACATTATAAAAGCTATATATGCTAAACCCAAGGCCAGCATCATTCTAAATGGAGAGAAATTGGAAGCATTCCCTCTAAAAACTGGAACAAGACAGGGTTGCTCTCTTTCACTACTTTTATTTAACAAAGTCCTCGAAATTCCAGCTACAGCAATTAGTTGAAAAAAATTAAAGGAATACAAATAAGAAAAGAAGAACTCAAACTATCATTATTTGCTGATGACATGATTTTATACTTAGAGAATCCAAAAACTTCCACCAGAAAACTTCTAGAATTAATAAACGCATTCAGCAAAGTAGCAGGATATAAAATCAATACCCATAAATCAAATGCATTTCTATACATCAGTGATGAATCCTTTGAAAGAGAAATTAGGAAAACCATCCCACTCACAATAGCCTCAGAAAGAATAAAATACTTGGGAATCAATTAACAAAAGAGGTGAAATGCCTCTACAAGAAAAACTATATAACACTAAAGAAAGAAATTGAAGAAGACCTTAGAAGATGGAAAGACCTTTCATGCTCTTGAATACACAGAATTAATGTTGTCAAAAAGGCCAAGCTACCAAAAGCACTATACAGACTCAATGTGATACCAATTTAAATCCCAATCTCATACCTCATAGAAATAGAAAAGGTGTCATGAAATTCATTTGGAAAAATAAGAGACCCACAAGAGCCAAAGCAATCCTTAGCAAGAAGAGTGAAGCAGGAGGCATTAAAATACCAGACTTAAACTACCCTCTAGAGCCATAGTAACAAAAACAGCATGGTATTAGCACCAAAACAGACATGTAGACCAACGGTACAGAACAGAAGACATAGAGACAAACTCATATAAATAGTTATCTCATTCTAGACAAAGGTGTCCAAAACATATACTGAAGAAAGCTCTTCAAAAAATGGGGCTCAATAAACTGGAAACCCATATGCAGCAAAATAAAGTTAATCCCCTATTTCTCATCATGCACAAAACTCAATGTGGCTCAAGGACCTAGGAATTAGACCAGACACTGAGCCTAACAGAGGAAAAAGTAGGCCCAAATCTTCATCATGTCGGATCGGGCCCTGACTTCCTTAACAAGACTTCTAAAGTGCAAGAAATAAATCAAGAAGCAATAAATTTAAACTAAAATGCTTCTTCTCTGCAAAAGAAAACAATCAATGAGCTGAAGAGAGAGCTTACAGTGTAGGAGCAAAATTTTGCCACATGAACATCAGATAGAGTACTAATCGCCAAGATATATAAAGAACTCAAAAAACTTAGCACCACAAAACCAAACAACCCAATCAATAAATGGGCTAAGGAACTGAAGAGACACTTCTCAGAAGATATATAATCAATCAACAAATATATCAAAAAACGTTCAACACCTCTAGTAATCAGAGAAATGCAAATCAAAACTACTCTAAGATTTCATCTCACTCCAGTCAGAATGGTAGTTATCAAGAATACAAGAAACACTAAGTGTTGGCGAGGATGTGGGAGAAGAGGCACACTCATTCATTGCTGGTGAGACTGCAAATTGGTGCAGCCAATATGGAAAGCAGTATGGAAAATCCTTGGAAAATTGGGAATGGAACCACCATTTGACCAAGCTATCCCTCTCCTCGGTCTATACCCAAAGGAGTTAAAAACTGCATACTACAGTGACACAGCCACATAAATTTTTATAGAAGCACAATTCATAATAGCTCAACTGTGGAACCAACCTAGATGGCCTTCAATAGATAAATGGATAAGGAAACTGTGGTATATACGCAATGGAATATAACTCAGCGATAAAAGAGAATAAAATCAGGGCATTTGCAGGTAAATGGATGGAATTAGAGAATATCGTGCTAAATGAAGTAAGCCAATCCCCCAAATCCAAAGGCCAAATGTTTTCTCTAAGTGGATGCTAATCCATAATGGTGGGGCATGGGATGAGTTGAAGAACTTTGGATTGGGCAAAGGGAAGCGGGGAAATGGGCATGGGAGCAAGAGAGATGGTGGAATGAGAAGGACATCATTACCCTAGGGTACATATATGATTGCACAAATGGTGTGATCCTACTTCGTGTACAACCAGAAGTGAAAAATTGTGCTTCATTTGTGTACAGTGAATCGAAGAGCATTCTTCTGTCATGTATAACTGATTAGAACAAATAAATTTAAACAAAAATGGCCCAGTTATATGGTAACGCTGGCCAGGGGTGCCATGTGTGAAGGCTCGAGGCTCTATCAGTTGAAGACTTGAGTTCAGCACTTTCTTCCAGAGACAGAAGATTCTGAGCAAAACAAGATGATGACCCTACTATCTTGCGAGTTCTGCATCCTTCAGACTCTGTCTGCTTTGCTGAAACTTTCCCATAATTGAACTTTTTTTAAAAAATTGGGGGTGGGGTGGTATCTCTGATAAATCAGGGATTGAACTCAGAGGCACTTGACCACTGAGCCCCATCCCCAGCCCTATTTTGTATTTTATTTACAGACAGGGTCTCACTGAGTTGCTTAGCACCTTGCTTTTGCTGAGGCTGGCTTTGAACTCTCAATCCTCCTGCCTCAGCCTCCCAAACTTTTAAGATTACAGGCATGCACCACTGTGCCTGGCCACAATTAACCTTTTAATGATGAAAACTATCAAATAAACTTTCTGAGCTAGCTCTGAGTCAGTCACCAGTCTGTCAGCACTCACTTGGCTGTGAGACTTGGCTACCACTTGGCTACCAATCTGGCCCCAGCTTTTTCTCCCTAGGTGTGTCTGTCTTTTCTTTATCTCCTATCGCTCCTACAGTATTTCCCTTAATTAACAGCCAGGACCCAGAGTAGAGATGGGGCCCTGGCAGTTTGACACTGTAATTTGATGCTTAGTAACACCTCTTAACTGGGTGATATTAGTCATATGTAACTCTATTCCTTGATTTCATCATTTGTATAATGGGAATGGATAGGTGTATCTATCACATAAGAATGATGTAAAAGTTTAAATATTGCATAAAAATGCTTAGAATTAGATCCTGGCTTGCTACAGATGATCAGTGAATGTTTACTATCATTATTTATTAACATTATTATTTGTATTAAGTTTAATTGCTATGAAAACAGTGAAAAGTTGGGAAAAAAATAGGAGTGATCTAGTAGATTAAAATTGAAGTCACACCTAAATTGTACCAGTTAAAAATATTTTTTAAAACCAAGATATTTTGGTCACTTAAAATTAGAAATAGGGGGCTGGGGATTTGGCTCAAGCGGTAGCGCACTCGCCTGGTATGCGTGTGGCCCGGGTTCGATCATCAGCACCACATATAAACAACGATGTTGTGTCCGCTGAAAACTAAAAAATAAATATTAAAAAAAAAATTCTCTCTCTCTCTCTCTCTCTTAAAAAAAAAAATTAGAAATAGGTAAATCACATTGAATTTCAGCCTCCTGAGTAGCTGGGACTGCAAGTGCACAATATCACACAAGGCTCATTTATGAATTTCAAGCAGTCCAGTGACTCTTGTTTTACTACACACTTTTACAAACGTCAAATACCATACTTTATCTTACCAATCGCTTGCTATAAAGTAATGCTGTACTGCTGCCACTGGAAACTGCCCATTTAGAAAAATGCATGACATGTTCCAACTGCTTAGAAAGTCCAGCTACTTCCTGTTGTTGTTGCATAAGTTTCATGCGATGATCCTTTGCAAGGCTCTGAAAAGAAGGAAATAATTTCAAATTATTTTCTGCACTTAACATTTATTTCAAAGGACATTTTTAGATAAGCAAATGAGAATAAGTGCCCTCAAATATACCAACTGATAGCAGCTGAAAATACTCTTAGTATTTTTTTCCTTAGTACAAAAGATCACTCTCACTGGAACAAACAAACAAACAAAAACCATATCTCATAAATTGCCTCCAGCCCTTATCCCTTGGGTTTGGCTTTACATATTCTGGGCTTTAGATCTCTGTTAATGCATCCTGCCAAATACACAAAAGGACAAAAGCATGCATTAGCTATAATATACACAATGTTAAGTTCAAAATTTGCAAATGAAATAGATGTACTATTAAGCAATTTAATGATTCAATACATACAGTGGATAATTGTGTTAATGCACTTTTATAAAGCTACATAAAAGCAGAATACAGAATGATTTTATCAATGATATGATCTTACCTTTTAGGTATTCTAGTCCCACCTGAAACTAGTTTGTGCTCAGAATAATGAAGTGTGGTAAATAACACTTCTCCTTTGGATGTAGTATTAATATTTAGAAAGGCATTGTTATGGTTTACATATGAGGTGTCCCCTAAAAGCTTGTGTGAGTAAGGCAACAAAATTTAGAGATGAATCAGGTTATGAGCATCTTGATATAAACAATTAATCCCTGACAGGGATTAACTGGGTGGTAACTATAGGCAGGTAGGGTGGGTCTGGAGGAAGTAAGTCATTGGGGGCATGCCTTGGGGGTTTATATTTTGTCCATGGTGAGGAGAGTCTCTTTCCGTGTTTCCTGGTGTGATGTCCTGAGCTGCTTCCCTCTGTCACACCCTTCCACCATGCTGCTCTTCCTCGCCTGGAGCCCTGGGGAAGAGAGTCAGCTATCTATAGACTGAGACCTCTGAAATCATGAGCCCCCAAATAAACTTTTTCTCCTCTAATTGTTCTTATCAGTCTTTTGGTCATAGCAGCAAAAAAGCTGATTAAAACAGGTATGATATCATTTCTGTCTACTGAGAATTACCATGGGATCCAAAACATACAGTGGATAATTGTGTTAATGCACTTTTATAAAGCTACATAAAAGCAGAATACAGAATTTCTGTAAGGAAAATACATACTGCCTTTAGCAAACAGGGTAGTCCTAAAGTGGAGAGCACTAAACTTGGATTATTTTAAAGGTCCATCCAAAAACCTCATTCTCATCCTAGCAAAGAAAGGGGAATAAACAGGGCTTCCTACTAACTCAAATTAGAAAAGTTTAAAAGTAAAACTGCTATATTTCAACATGTACCTATGTTCTCAATAAAGACTGCATTTTTTAGTTCTAAATTTGGAAAACACACATGCTAATTAAATTGATTTAGCTATTGAAGGACTGTTAACAGGCAATGGCTTTGCCATATCTAATTTAAGCTTAAAGAGAAGATGACTTACCTTTTAGACTATTTCTGACCTCTGTGAGACCTAAGTGTTTCTTTGGAAACATTCTAGTGGAAATAGAAATTTGTTGACTTTTGAGGAGGTTGCAAATTAAGGAGAAGAAGCCCTAGTGTCTTGGTCTTCTATGGTAACAACTGTTTGGACTTTAGCAAATAAAATTGGTTAAATTTATTTGCCTTTAAGGAGAACTCTGAACCAGGAAAATTGTTATGAGGAATAGAGGCATTTTTAAAAGGTGCCGTGAAAATTACAAGTGAAGACTGATTAAAAATAATATTGATGACCAGATTCATTTTTATAGATTCAAGGGTCTGGTTATTTTAAAGTTCTTCAAATGATTCTAATGTACAATAAAGTTTGGAAACAGCAGTATGTGCATTACTAATACCTGGGGAAGCAAATCAAAGTGATGTTTATTAAGTAGAGCTTTGAATACTTCCAATTTTGATTAAATGTGGGTTTTTAAAAGTTTATATACAAATTGCAAAGACTTAAAAACATAGTTACTACAAAGGGGGTCGGATTCCTTCTGCTCAAAACATTTCCTAACCAAATAACTTATTCCTAAAAAACAGAGAATTATTTTAGTCTTTGTTTCATGGGACTGGTTGATAAAACGTGGGAATGACTAGACTTTCAAGCAAGAACTTTCTGACAGAGAACTTAAACTTGGTCAACTATGAAATAAAGAAGCTGAACTTATTATTTCTAGAAATCTTAATTTTTTTTTAACTCTGCTAATGTTAGGATTCTTTAATTCTCATTCTAAATTGCTTCTTGACTGTGAATTCTTTCTGCATCGATATATTAAAGAATGCCTCAAAATGATGCAATTAATATTATACCTTAAAATACAATGTACAAGTTGTTATCTCATTTTATTTGATGTCAAGCACTGACTTTGGATATTGACCTTCATGAGTTCAAAAAAAGCTGATGAAGATAGCAATATTTTTCTTAACTGCAGTTAGAAACAACTATCCTAGTTGCCTTGAACATCACTTCCTAAGTGATGCTTTCATATTAATACTATAAAATGTTGAGGGTAGGAGCCACAATAATTTACTTAATTTCTCACAGGGTTAAATACGAACGGTTATGCACTGTTTAACAATAGGATACACTATATGAAACATCATTAAGCAATTTCCTCATTGGGCGAACATCTCAGGGTACACTTACAAATAATCTTATGGGACCACTGTTATGTATGTAGTCTGTTTGTTATAATTTGGACATGGAATGTTCCCCAAAAGTCCATAGCTGGTGGCACTATAGTAGGGTGGTGGGGTCTAGTTGGAGGAAGGGCACTAGGGATATACCTTTGAAGGATATATTGGGACCCAGGCCTCTTCCTCTGTTGTTGCTTCCTGGCAGCCATGAGGTGAGCAGCATTCCTTTACATCATGCTTTGCCATGATGTTCTGCCTCACCGTGGGCCTATATGATGGGGCCAAGAAACCAATGGACTGAAACTTCTTCAACAATGAGCCCAAACAAACCTTTCCTCCTTTAACTTAATTTTCTCAGGTATTCTATCACAGTGATGGAAAGCTGACTAACTCATCATTGTTGACAGAAGCATCACTATGTGGGGGATGAGTGATATCTCCCAGTGTTATCTTCCTAGAAAAATTTATTGGAACTCTGCCACTTTGGTGATACAAAGTTATCACTTCAGTGAATTTGTAAAATGGCCCATCTCTTCAACATTCCTCCTATGAGCAAAACTTACATTTATGCTGTGAAGCAAACAATGAGGAGTAAAACATTCCCAGTGTATTATAAAACTATAAATAGACAATACAGAATCTGTCAAAGGAAAACTAGGATTGGGGAAGAGATGTTATCAAATTGTAAATGGAAACGATTACAAAAGGACTATGATTTCAAATTCACATACATTAGAAAATTTTGTTGAATCACAACATACTGTCCCCTCTAGTAACTTACCTCTAGCTGATGCAGCAGAGCTTTTCCTTTTTTATTTATTTCTACCATCAATGTAAAGATAGCAACTTTAATATCCTGTTCCACCTGCTTTTGATTTTGATTTACTTCAATTATTCTGAAAATTAAATGAAGGAAAAAAATCTAAAACTTAAGGCAGACTTTTTTTTACAATATTTAAAATTTATATTTTAATATCTAAATTAAACCAAAATGTTTTCAGCCCTTTAAAGATCCATTTCTGGGTCCTTCCATTTATTTATTTTTACTCGTGTATTTATTTTTTGGTACTAGGGTTCGAATCCAGGGTGCTTTACCACAACTACATTCCCAACCTTTTTTATTTTTGAATCTTAGGCAGGGTCTCGGCTAAGTTGCTGAGGCTCTCACTAAGGTGCCAAGGCTGGTCTCAAACTTGCTAAACTTCCTGCCTTGGCCTCTCAAGTCTCTGGATCATGGGCAGGTGCCACCATGCCCAGCTGAGTCCTTCCATTTAAAATCAACTGTTCTGAAGATGACAATGAAATTAAATTCTGAAAGATAACAAGTCATTCAGATTGATCTTTAAAGCAAAATACTCAAAATTGGAAGAGAATGAGCACATTTTAAGAGAATGTTATTTGGAAAGATATTTGATATCCAGGAAAATCAATACTCTAACTACCTAAAGGATGGGGTAGGGGGATTGGACTAAAACTAGGATTTATAAACATGATAAAGAAACTACGACTGAACTAGTTTTGTCATGCTCACTGCAACTAAGAGGTAGAAAAGTATAAATACAATACTCTGACCTTAGACTTCTGAACTGCTGAAGTATTCATTATATCTGAATGAAAGCAAAAAAAAAAAAAAAAAAAAATCTTCGCTACTTCTTACAAAACATATTTATCTTGAAAACTAAACAGTCAAATAACTATGTTATGTTTCATCAATCAAAACTTTTCTTCCTTCAGTTTGAAAGAGTGGGAATGTGATCTCATGGAAATGAAATAGAAAGAAAACATACAGCATCACACCAGAATATTTTACAGAAGTAGAAAAGACAGTAAGTCAAATATCAAACTTTATGAAATTAAAGAAAAAGCTTCATTTCTCCTGTTTATCCCATACTATACTTCTCATTTTAAAACCAAAATGGTGGAGATATTATTCTCTGTTGAACATTCTTCAAGATAAATTGTTTAATATCAACTTAGCTATAGGATTAAGAGACCTATATAAGCCTATGAAGCAACCAATCTCAAAAAACAAAAACAAAAACAAAAAAACAACTCATTTAAATCTTTCTGATGGTAGAATGTATAAATAAGGGGAAAACAGACATGTTTACAAACACATAAAAATGAGTTAATAGCAAAATTAGTGTGGTAATTAATCCTTCTAAAATCAGATAGGCTATAAAGAAATGCAAGTAATCAATACATTAATAATGAAGATTCTTTAAATTTTTACATTTCAGAAGCTAACATCTTGACATATAAGAATGCTATTATTTTGTTAAAAAACAGAATTGCATAAATCACTAAAAAAGAAAACAAGTAAAAACATATTTGAAGAACTCACACTACCTGATTTCATGACATTATAAAAATGAAAGTTGAGTATTGGCAAAAAAGAAAACACAATCAATGGAACAGAGCACAGTTAAGAAATAACCCCACACTTACATGGTTAATTGATTTTCCACAAAGGTGCCAAGGCAATTCAATAGAGATAGGGTAGTCTTTTCAACAAATGATGTTGGAAGAATGGACCACCACATGTTTAAAAAAAAAGAAAGGTATCCTGACCCATAGCTCATAACATAGACACAGTGGAAGAGATAGAAAAAAGTCAAAAGGGTAAATCGCAGTAAGGGTAGATCTTTTACTAAATTATTTTATATGACTACTTTTTGCCACTAGATGGTAGAAATGTCTATAATTATCTCCCCTGGTTCGTTTAGTAAATGTTCATTATAAATTTTCAGTTACTCAGAATCAAAAATTTAAAAACCTACTAATATTATCCTGATTAGAACAGTATATTCTAAAGCACTTTTAGAAAAAAGAACTACTCTTTGGTTAAAGAGTTGTTACATGAAAAGAGAAAGGTTAAAGAAAAAAGAGCTGATAAAGAAGAGTAAGAAAAACTAAAAAAAGACTCACAATATAAAACAATGTATATAATATATAATAATTATGTAATAATAATACTGGAACATCAAGAAAAGAAAAGTCATATTTAAGAATCTCTTTTAAAGAAATCTGATAATACATTAAATTACCTAAAAAATTTTTCCAAATGCTCCTCCACCCTTAACTATGTTCCAAAATGATAAGAATGACAGAAAATTATGATGAGTCTTGAGCAAGATGAACCCCAAAGGCTGACACAATTTTCCCAGTGAACAATATTCAAAGCCCCTGCCAGGCCTCTTTTGTTCGGGTTCTTTCCATTTGGCATTTCTTGACCTATTTAGGCAGTGGCATGTTACTTTTGTATGTTAAACAACAAAAGAAAGAGGACATGGGATTTCACAAGTGTGTTAAAGTGTTAATTAAATGTCATTACATGCCCTACATGGGATTAAAAAAAAAAAAAAGCGGTGAGACAACCCCCTTTCTTACAAAGAGTTAGTTGTTTGCTACCCAATTGCTAAATTCTAAGATGTAAGCCTTTGGACATTTGATTTCCTTCTTTGGAGGATAAAAGGTATAACAAGTAATACCTAGAAACTGTCTGCATATTGTATTAGACAAGGAATAAAAAGGTATGTTTAACAATCCCTGTCTTAGTGTCCTAAAATTTCTACCCCTTTGCAATGAAAGATCATAGCCTTAGGGGAGGGCATCCCAAATTTTAGCAAACCTTAAAACAGCAATTAAGTATATAATCAACTATTTAAATATTTTATAATGCTGGAAAAAATAGTTGATTTTGTTTTTAAATCTTGGCATATCTTTAAATTGGAAAATACCAAATAATTATAAATTATTAATACCTACCAGATATATAAGTTATTACTACTTATTTTATTAACACATTAGTTTAAAAAAATTCATAGATGAAAAAAATGCTTTCTAACCCAAAATTTCCAGAAAAAAATTGAGTCATCTGATAGCTTACTAATTGCTTCACAATGAGTTAAGAAAAATGTTCTCTTAAATGTGAATACACTTAACATATAAAAATGATTTAGTATAATACCATAAGTACAAATTTACCTGTTTTGGATCTGATTTCCTGTGTATTTAATGTATTTTGTTTTTTCCATCAGTTTGGTGATTAGTGTATCTATGATCACTTTCTGATTTTGAAAAGCTTCTTCTATAAATTGATATCTGAAGAAATAAGTAAATAGGCAAATTATTTCAAACAAATATATGTATAAAATGAGGGGAAGTCCAAATGTAAAAAAAAATGAGTAATAAAAAATTAAGATTATAAAGGATATAAATAATAATCTTTAAAAAGTACCAAACACAACCCTGTAAGGCAGGTTTTCCCCTTTCTCTCATATTATTCCTTAAGAAGGATATTGAAAGATAATGTTTATGGACATTCTTAAAATTATTTCTTAAGTTTAAGAAAGATACACATCCATCACTAATAGTTTTAAAGGCTTACAGAGCACATTGGGCAGATCTGGCAAAAAATAAGATTTATTAACTATTAACTATTTCATCATTTAACAGTTCTGAAAGTTTCTTTCTAATGATGGATTTAGCTATAAAACTTAAGGCTTGGTTGATACGTACTATTTTTTACTATAATTTAGATAAAAATATTTTCTAATATCCGTTAGGATTTCTTTGGTGATTTAGTTAATTATTAATGATTTATTCTGAAGTAATTTCAAAATGAAATATGTAAGAGTTCAAAGATTTATTTTTCAAATTTTGCCCTTTAGCCACATAATTCAGTGTGCGTTTCCTAAAAACAAGAATGTTCTCTTATTTAATAATAGTAGTTATTAAATTCAAGAAAATTGATGTTCGTAAGTCATGTACCCTTTTAGACTATATCCCATATATGTCATTTGTCTCAGTATCTTCTAGACCTTTTTCTTTCTAGGATACTCCATGATCATTTATCAGAACATTTAATTTTCATATTCCATTTCTTCTCTTCCAAAAGTACAGTTTTTTCCTCTTCTACTGTTGTTTTCTAGATTAATTCTATTGGGTTATACAAGTTATTTTGCAGGATTTCAATCCTTTGAAATTTAATACTTTGCTTAGTAATATGGTCAATTAAAATTTTTTCTTTGTATGTTTGAAAAGAATGTGTATTACTCAGTATAGTTTTCATAATCTCCATAACTTCATTTGCTAATTCTGTTATTATAATCTTACTGACATGTTCTTTATTGATTTTTAGTCTTATTTTGTCAATTATGTATTTAATATACTTTGGAACATATATTAAAATTTTCCACTCTGTGTACTTACCAGTTTAAAGTTCTGTCATTTTAAGTTTATGATGCATATAAATTTAGAGCTGTTGTATCTTTTAAATTAAGCCTTTTATCTTCATAAAGCTTCCCTTTTAATCTAAAATAATATATTTTGTCTGCTACTTCAGCTTGCCTTTGGTTAGTATCTGTATGACATATCTTTTCCTATTAATCTTTTTATTTGCTCAGGATTTAGATATTTCTCATAAAAAGCACATAGCAGGAGCATCTGAGGATGTAGCTCCTTAAGGCCCTGAGTTTGACCCCCAGTGCCATAAAAAAACAAAATAGCGGATTTTTCTATTTTGTTTCTTACCTAGACTGAAATTGTTTGATAATTTGGAACATTTTATGCATTAAGATTTGATATAAGTATGAATGTATCTGCAGATGTACCAATTACCAAGACCTTATTTGAACCCACTTAATCTTTGTTGCTTTGTCTTACTTTGGTAGCCTAGTTTAGACTGATGGATTACTCTATAACCTTGGACCCCTTCATATATTTTTTACTATTCTTCTAGTGACTATCCTAGACATTACAAAATGTATATCTAAACTTACCATCATCTAATATTAATCCGTATTTTTTACATTTTTCCTAGACTCCATGTCTCCTAACATGTCTGCGTAACACACGATACACACATATACCATAAACCAAGACATTGTTTCCTAGGTCAATATTCATTTAGCTTTACTCATATCTATTACTTTTTTCTTTGTGCATCTCCTACTGTTATTTATTTACCTAAAGGGGTACTTTAGTGAGGGTTTACTAGAGATAGATTCTCTAAGTGTATTTAGTATGAAAATATGAAAATATCTCATTCATTTTTAAAAAAATATGCACACTGGGGATAGAACTTGAGATTTGCAGTAATTCTTTCTATAGTTTAAAAATGTTAGTTTCTTTCTTTCTTTTTTAAATATTTATTTAGTTGTAGATGAACACATAGTAATCTTGATTTATTTTTTATGTGGTGCTGAAGATCGAATCCAGTTCCTCACACATGCAAGGCAAGCACTTTACCACTGAGCTACAGCCCCAGCCCAAAAGTATTACTTTCTTAACAATCCTGCTGGGTATTGTAGGACTTCTTGAATATGAACTAGATGTCTTTCATGAGTACTTGCAAGTTCTCAGCCATTTCATTATTTTCTCAAGTACTGCTTCTTTCCCATTCTTTTCTTTCCTACTTGGATTGCAATTACATCCATATTGAAAACTTTCTTCTATGTTTCATTCTTTTGTTTACCAAGCTTCATTCTAGATATTTTCTTAATTTTTAGTTCAAAAATTCTCATTTCCTGCTATGTCAAATCTGCTGTTCAAACTTCTATTGAATTAATTTCAGTTGCTGTAATTTTCTGTTCTATACTTTCCATTTTGCTTTCTTTTTATAGTTTTTAATTTTAATTTTTATTCTAATTTGTTATATATGACAGCAGAATGCATTACAATCCGTATTACACATATAGAGCATAATTTTTCATATCTCTGGCTATATACAAAGTATATTCACACCACTCGTGTCTTCATACATGTATTTAGGGTAATGATGTCCATCTCATTCCACCATCTTTTATACACCCCTGAAATACTACACCCAAACTTTCCATTTTGTCTTTTACCATGTTGAACATATGATGCAGAACTGTGGGTCTTTTTATTCTTTGTTATATCTACTAGGTTTCATTTACAATGTCTAATCAAACATACCTGGCTATTTCTAACTATATACAGAATAACATTTTATAAAATTCACTACCCAAATAAGTTTTAAGCCTAGAATATTTTCCTTTTCTACGGAGGATTCACATTTGATTCTGACAGGTGCTTTGGGACATCACAGTAAGAATTCATATTAATTTAATGCGAGGTACTGCTCACAAGCTAATTGATCATTACTATAAGGGTCCCAACTCAAGGCAAGAGGAAGCTTTTACTCCTTATGAACCTGAACTCAAATCCCTCACTTCTCAGCCCTGAGAGTATATTAAAATTATTCCTCAACCTCTAGGCAAATATCTCAAGAGGTAAAAAAGTCTCTGCAATTCTCTGCCCCTATTTTCAACCAAATCCTGATACAATAATTCTTTACTACTTGATTATATCTGAAATTTCTTATAGATAATTTCTGGATTTTACCCAGCTTTTCTCCTGATCTTCATTGGTATGCTTGCTCCAAATTATCCAGACTTCCATTATGGGAAATTTGGACCATTATAGGCAACTATACATGTGTCAACTAATCTGAATGTTACTGCCCAAATCAGTGGTTGCTAACTCAAGTGCCTATGGAGGTTAGATGTAAAAGTAAGCTTTGGTAAGATCTACAATGAACCAGAAATGGCATGTCTTATTCTGAAGAGCATTAAAGTTAATTCCAGCTAAATGCTGGTGTGAAAGTATATGAACTTAGGGCTACAACAGTTATTTCTTAAATGAAACCAGAAATCTAGATTTATTTTTTAAATAGAAAATATCCTAATTTTATAACACCTATAACTAATTTCACATGTTCTAAAACAGAGTCTGAACTAGAGTTTCTCACTCAGGGTGATTGTGTTACATAGGATATTTGGTAATATCTAGAGATATTTTTAAAAATTGTCATGACTAGGGAAGGATGTGGGGTGCAGTGGCAACTAATTGTTAGAGGTCAAGGATGTTTGCTGCTAAACCCCACACAATGTATGACATTCCCCAAAACAAAGAATTATCTAGCTCAAAATGCCAATAATGCCAAAGTGGATAAGCTATGGTACAGGCCAGCATACCACTTTGCAGACTGCCATTTAGCTGAGGTGATAGCAGTTCTCAAGTCCATATAGAACTTTATTATAAATCTGTCCATAATGAATAGTGCTAGTACCTATGCTCCTTGTGCTCTAGCAGTTGACAGTCCCGACATGTCAGTTTGTCACACGTCTCACAATAAAGCTTCAATTGCTCCTTTTTATGAAAAGGACAAAACACTGGTCGTTGGCTGGTCACACCCACTGCCTCTGCAGAAATCATGGAAAGCAAAGAGGAAAAAAATTAACATAATTTTTTTCATACTTCATACTTACTAGATTGTCCACTTAAACTCAAATCTATAGATATGAGAGCCACAAATAATTTTTATCTATACTGTAACTACTACTAGGTATTACAGGTATATAATATTAAATATTTTCAGTATTTCTAAAAAAATATAAATGAGCTTTTCATTTTCTACAATAGAAGTTCACATTAATTCAGTAGTAAATGAAAGAGCAAAGTTGTGTAATTAAAAAGATGTTTTTTCTATGCCAAATTTGAAAGGACATTTTAAAAAATGTGATTCATAAAAATCTAATAAAAATATATAAAAGGAATAGTGAATAAGAAACCTCCCTATTTTTGCAAAATTCCTAACAAAGGATACCCATTTAGACACAAATAATCTTAAGTGTTTTTACTATTACACTACAGTTACTCTAGTGAATTTTTATTAGTTTTTTAATGTGGGGATAAAACTGAGAAATTCTTATGTAATAATTTTAAGTGGAAAAATCAAGAATACAAATGACTATTCTGGTTGATCAAACAGTAATACCAGTTATCTCACCAATAATCAAAGGTAAAACTCCAAACATTTCACAAATAATCCCACTTTCAGAGACAACTATTCTTAATAACCTAGAATGTATTACTCTGGTTGTTTTGGGGTATATAGAACCCTATGTAATATAGTACAGTGTTATAGCTTAGATATTAGGTACCCCCCAAAAAAAGCTTATGTGTGAGATGATGCAACAAAGTTTGTAGGTAAAATGAGATTAATGTACTTTATCAGTGCATTAATCCCCTAATAGGGACTAACTGAATAGTAACTATAGGCAAGTAGGGTATGGCTAGAAGAGATGGGTCATTGGGGGCATTTCTTTGGGGGATTTAGTTTAGGTAAGTGTAGTGTCTCTTTGCTTCCTAGTGTGATGTTCGGAGCTGTTTTCTGTCGCACACATCCACCTTGATATTCTACCTTACCTCAGGCCCTGAGGAATGGAGTTGGCTGCCTATGGACTGAGCCCTCTGCAACCAAAGCCCCCAAATAAATTCTTCTTCCTCTAAAATTGTTTTTGTTGCACCTTTTGGTCACAGCAGCTAAAAAGCTGACTAAAACATGCAGTGTTTTGTTTTATAAAATAAAAAAATGCGCTGGGCATGGTGGTACACATCTGTAATTCCAGCTCCCTGGAAAGCTACAGCAGGAGGATTGCAAACCCAGCATAGTGAGATCCAGTCTCAAAATAAAAGTAAAAAGGACTGGAGATGTAGCTCATTGTTAGAGCAGCCCTGAATTCAATCCCCAGTACCTCCCCCTCAAAATAGGGCAGGGGAGAGAGGATATAAAATTTAGTGACATGACACACATTGTTATGTAAGATATTCTTTTTCTCCCTTAACTCTTAGATACCTTTCTGTGTAAGTAAATAAGAATGAGGTAGATGTATTTATTAATTGTATAACATTCCATCAAATGGGCAAACCATGTGCTAGTGCAAGGTCCTCATTTCTCAATATCGTATGAAAATGCTGAAAAACACATACAGAGCAATAAATCACTTGAGTGTTTCCATAAAATAAATTCCTAGTGCTAAAATTGTTAGGTCAAAGGGTAATTTTAGATAGAAATAACTAAATGACCCCCTCAAAATAGAACCAATTTATATAGAGAGGGTATTTTCTATATTTTTATGGAGTAGAGAATATTGGTAGGGGATATTCTCCATATTTTTAAATCGTGCCAATAGATGAGAAAGGGAGAGAGAAAAATAGCAACATTTTAGGATAAATTTCTTTAACAACTGAAGTTGAATAACTTCAGTCATCAGCCATTTATATTTCTTTTAAAAATTTTTGTTGGCTGGGGGGCTGGACTTATGGCTCAGTGGTAGAGCACTTGTGAGGCATTGGGTTTGATTCTCAGCACTGCATATAAATAAATAAAATAAAGGTCCATTGATAACTAAAAAATATTTTTAAAAAAGTTGTTGGCTGGACTGGGTATATAGCTGAGACAGCACTTACCCAGAATGCAAGAGACCTGAGGTTTGACCTCAGCATTTACAAAAAAAGGAAGAACTGTCTGCTAATAACTCCTACAAATTTTCTTTCCAATTTGCTTTCTTGTTGACTTGCATACGAACTTAGTAAATTGCCTGCCTAAGATCTTCAAACATTTTTCCCAGTTTAACTTCTCTTAAGGTGTTGTTTTTCTAAACAGATATATTTAATGGTTTCAGTTTTTAAGAAACTATCTACAAAGTCTATAGTTATAAAAAATGTTTATTTTTCCTTTCATGATATACCTTTTAAGGTTTTCATTTTGTATTTAAATCTTTGATTCACTAAAAATTTATTTTGATATACTTCTAAATCCTTAAAAAATCCTTTTGTGTATACTAGCAAAGAAAATGAATTAAAAGATTCACATTTTCATGATCATAATCCAATAAGTTAAAAATAGAAACTAATAAAACCAAAACACTAAGAAAATTATTTTGTTCTTTTAAAGAATTCTTAGATTCATAATAATCACAATGTTAAACAACTTCTTTTTGCATTTAACATACATCACGGACATTTATAGACCTACCAAAGTAGTTTTGAAAACAAGCAAACACAAAAATTCATGTATCTTCAATTGCTTGGTAACTATACATGCAGGATATTTTAAAAATGGCAGAAATCAAAGTGGTAAAGTATAACTCAAACTTTAAGCACTTGTATTTATAAGTAAGCAAAGGAAAATGAGGGCCAAGTATATATCTCAACAAAGTTAGTCCTAGAATTTAATATAAAACTAAGGTCATCTAAGAGAATTGTGATTGATGAACTAAAAAATATAAAACAGGTTAATTAGATAAAATATAATCTGTCAGGTGTGGTGGGGCACACCTGTAATCCCAGCGGCTCATGAGGATGAGGCAGAAAGATCACCAGTACAAAGCCAGCCTCAGCAACTCAGTGAGATCTTGAGCAACTCAGAGAGACCCTGTCTCAAAATAAAACATAAAAAGGGCTGGGGATGTGGCTCAGTGGTTAAGTGCTCTGGGTTCAATCCCTAGTATCAACGACTATAACAACAATAGTCTCCTGAGTAGCTGAGATTACAAGCGTGTACCACCATGTGCAGCTTTCTAATTCTTAGTTACAGCTCTTCCTGCATCTCAGTGGCTAGTCCCTAATCAACTAACACTCTATCACCCTATCAACCAACACTATTTCTTTTCTTTATCCAGTTAAAATTTAAAAATCCTTCAAAATGTCATCACAATGTATCTCTTACACTGTCCAGCTAAACCCAAACTCTACATGCATCCAACCCTTCTCTATACCCACATCTAAACTGCTAAAATCTGTTGAGGAAATTTTATGGCCCACTATCAAATGTAACCTCGATGCCATGAAGAAAATCTTCTGTTTCCATAGATGCAGCTCTTTCAATTGGAGTTATCTAGCCTCCAACCTAAATCCCCAAATCTGAGGTTGTTAGTCCTTTCATGTACTAACAATAGCACTTGGTAGGCCAAACTACAATTGTTTATTCTGCTATAGTCTTATTATACTATAAAGTTCTAGAGTGCAGGAAATATATATCTTCTTTCATTTTCGTTCCTAGCCAAGTTCCCAGAATACAGAGTAGGCATGCAAATTTGTACTAGTTCACTTGCAGAATAAAAAGCAGCAAAACAAATTTTAAATAAAAATATAATAATGAGCCATAAAAAGGAATTAAGTTCTGAGACACTATGAAATGTATGAACCCTTAAAATATGCTAAATGAAATAAGCCAGATACCAAAGGAAATAGATAATGGTTATGGCTGCATAGCATTGTAAATGTAATTAATGCTGCTGGATTGTATATTTAAAAATATTTTAAAAGATAAATTTTAAGTTACAAATATTTTACTAAAATAAAACATCTATTTCAGTGAATGTTACTTTAAAAGTTTACAACACAAAAAAATCTCAAAAACCATAATTACATAAAAATCAAAGCTTCTTTGGCTATCTGTATATCATGAAAATATCACAAAGCAGGTTTACTACCAAAATATTAGAAGGAAGAGAGCTATAAATGTTTAGGTCCATTCCTTATCACTTTAGAGATGAGAAAATAAGAAAAACCAACTTTTTAAATTTTCATTTGCTCCATATTCATACCAAATTAAGATAATTATACTAGCAGGAGTTTGGGAGTATGAATGTGAGGAAGGAGGATTGTATTAACTAATTCATGCTTACCAACATTTATAAGTAGTCCAATTTCAATAACAATATTGACCTCTATATTAAAAAGTAAGAGCACATTTAATGCTTACAAATGTATTCAAATAAATCAACATAAGGAAGTACATTGGGAGAGATAGGGAATGAATGAACAAAGGGAACTGATTTATTACCTGGAGATACTTCCTCTTTCTGTCTGACAGTGTGATCTTTTGTGAACTTCACTCTCTGATGAGCTCTAATACATGTCTTGCACAGCCATTCAACACACTCTACACAAAACCCATTAGCTTCAGCATTGTCTTCACAGCTTGTACACACCTGATGATAAAGCAAGCATGTCACATAAATCTTTGAGAAAAATGAAAAGTTGCTCATCTACTAGTTAAACATAAATGATACACCAACCAAACTAGACTCAGGTTTTTTTTTCCTTTTTAAAAAAATTGTTCATTTTTAGTTATACATGACCGTAGAATGTATTTTGACATGTCATACATATATAGAGTGTAACTTCCCATTCTTGTGGTTGTACATAATGTGGAGTTACAATGGTTGTGTATTCATATATGAACATAGGGAAGTTATGTCTTATTCGTTCTATTGTCTTTCCTGTTCCCAACAGTGTTTGCAAATTTAAATTGACATTATGTAATGAATTATATGCATACGATATGGAAACATTAAAAATAGGTAAGTGTTGTTATATTTTCTCCTTAGTTTAATATACTAAATATTCCAGGCACTGTACTAGGTGTTGGAATAGAAGAATTAGGAAAAGCAAATACAGTCCCTGCCTACAGTCTCACAGGTTAGAATCTCATCCCCCCCAACATACACACCTATTAACTAAGTGCTCTTGGGCACAATATACTACTTATTTCTAAAATGAGGGTGGTAACTGAATTTACAGAGTAGCTGTAAAGATCACAAGTATATCTGTGAAGCAAACATACATTGCTGGAATAATCACACTCATATAAAACTATTTAAAATTGTCATAAAGAAAATATATGAGAAATTATAAGAGTATCTGATGGAGAAACTGTTCTCATTGAATTACATTTGGAAGTCTGAAGAAAACAACAGGAAGGAGTATCCAGAGAAAGCTTTTCCTAAAAAGATCCTATTACATCAAGATATGAAAGTTGAAAAGTCTTCTAGGAAGACAAAAGAACATGAACAAAAGACTGTAGACAAGAAGAATATAGCAAATTCAAAGAACTAAGAAAGCAAGTATGACTCAAGTACAGAGATCAAGGGATAACTGGCAAGAGGAGGAGCTAGTGGTGAGGCAGGATAGGGCCAGATTAAGCAGGTCACATGATAATGTTGGTCTTTGGAGAAGTCTATTGAAAGCTTTTTAAGTAAGAAAGTAGAATGGCCATATCTTACATTTTAAAGTCAATATTGCTGTGAGGTGGAGAAAAGATTAGAAAAGGAACATTTCCGCATAAAGATAAACTAGGAGGTTTTGCAGTGATGCAGGTGAGGGGTGGCAGAAAGAAATGGAGATGAGAAGAGAATGGGTGTGAGGGAAAGTTAGAAAGTAAAACTGGTTTGGATGATGCATTGGGTATGTGAGGTAAAGACGAGATAGCATTTATGTTTCTAACTTGTGTAACTGTACCAATGTCTGGGTAGGGTACAGATATTAAGGTCAAACAACATATAAGCAGTTCTCATTATCTTATTTGTGGTTAGGAAGAAAAAAATATTTTTTCTTCACTCAGGGGTTACCAAATTCCAAATACCTGAATAATTTCCAAATAGCAAAATCTCAGCTGTTATCACCTTTAAAATGTCTAGCATTGTTTGACACCACAAATGCCTACTTACTAAAAATCAAGTGATTTTAAATGATTTTGGATTCCATAATATCTGCCAATCCTCTTTTCTCCCTGAATGCCCCGCTAGATCCCATCTACTACTGTTTTCCCTCTGATTCTGTACATAAGTCTTTAATCTGCAGACTGATCACATCTACTTACCTTCAACTACCACCTCCACAAAGATGTCACCTAAAATATAATCTCCAGAAAGGCTACAAAATTAATGTGGAATGTGTATATACACTGATCAGAAGAAATTTCTTATACATTATGCAAATACTTTTAAAAGCAGGAAAAGTATGTAAATACTTATATTTAAGAAAAATGCAATGAAGTGGATTTTTTTATTTAACAAGTACAGGCTAGGCACGGTGGCACACACCTGTAATCCCAGTGGCTTGGGAAGCTGAGGCAGGAGGATTGAGAGTTCAAAGTCAGCCTCAGCAAAATTGAGGCACTAAGCAACTCAGTGAGACCCTGTCTCTAAATAAAATACATAATAGGACCAGGGATGTGGCTCAGTGGTCCAGAGCCCTTAAATTCAATCCCCGGTCAACACCCCCCCCCAGTAATATATCATATGGTATTAAAAACAAAAGGATATCAACACCTGCCTCTGTGGGGCCCAGGCGCACCAGTGGCCTAGGTCCACCCATTTCCCTGTGGGGCAGACACTCGCTGGAGCCTAGCCTCTGGTGCAGAACCGCCCCTTCTGACCAATAGACTAAGGCGGGAGCTGAGATCCAGCCCAGACCACCAACTCCAGCCCACTCAAGATCCAGGTTCTCCATAGGCCCAGTTCACCCTTCCCCCAGTGGGGCAGACACCTTCAGAGCCTAGCCTTTGGAGCAGGACTGTCCCTTCCGATCACCACACTACCTTGGGAGGTAGAGCCTAGCAGCCCAGATCCACCGAAACCAGCCTCTGCAGGGCCCAGGTGCACAGCAGGCCTGGTCCACCCCTTTCCTGGTGGGGCAGACACTTGCCAGAGCCTAGCCTCTGGCACAGGATCGCCTTTCCGACCAGCAAACTACCACTGGGGGTCAAGCCCAGCAGCCCAGATATACCCACTCCAACTTACGCAGGTCCCATATCCAAGATGCAGTAGCATCCACTGAGGGACACCATCAGGGTCTGGAAGCCCAACATCACGGTGAGGTACAGACAATCTGTACGGGTACTACAAGAATATAGGGGAGAAACTGTAATATCTCAGATCCACATTGTAAGAAAGGAAGACACATAGACACCATGAAAAAACAAGGGTGGAAAGTGCCCCAAACAAACCAGGACGCTATAATAACAACCCATGGAGAGTGCAAAGTTGATGAAATGTCAGAGAAGGAGTTCAGAAGGTTCATAATTAAATGATCTGTGAATTAAACAATGACCTAAATGAGCAAATACAAGCAAAAATGGATCACTCCAACAATGAGATAAGGGAGCAAATACTGGTAGCAAAAGATTACTGAGAGAGAGAGAGAGAAAGAAAGAGAGACCCTGAAAACAACAACAAAAAACCCAAACAAACCAGAAATCCTTGAAATGAAGGATACAATAAATCAAATAAAAAACTCAATTGAAAGCATAACCTACAGACTAGATCACTTGGAAGAAAGAACATCAGATAATGATGACACAGTATACAATCTGGAAAATAAAGTTGATCAGTGAAGAAAGTTAGAAACCCTGGACAGAATATCCAAGAATTATGGGACAACATTAAAAAACCAAATCTATTTTTTATTGGGATAGAGGAAGGCACAGAGCTTCAAACCAAAGGAATGCATAATCTCTTCAATGAGATAATATCAGAAAATTTCCCAAGCATGAAGAACAAATTGGAAAAACAAATACAAGAGGCTTAGAGGACACCGAATGTACAAAATTACAACAGATCTACACCAAGGCACATTATAATGAAAATGCCTACCATACAGAATAAGGATAGAATTTTAAAGGCTGCTAGAAAGAGGAATCAGATCACATATATGGGAAGAAGAATTTGTATCTCAGCAGATTTTGCAACCCAGACCCTCAAAGCCAGGATATAGTGGAAAACATATATCAAGCTCTGAAAGAAAATGGATGCCAATCAAGAATCTTATATCCAGCAAAATTAAGCTTTAGATTTGATGATGAAATAAAAACCTACCATGATAAACAAAAGTTAAAAAAATTTACAACTAGAAAGCCTGCACTACAGAACACCCTCAGCAAAATATTCCAAGAAGAGGAAATGAAAAACAGTGATGAAAATCAGCAGAGGGAGGGATTACACTAAAGGAAAATCTAGTCAGAGAAGAAACCAAGTCAGTTAAATACCAAAAATAAATAAAAGTGGCTGGGAATAAAAATCATGTGTTAATAATAACCCTGGAATGTTAACGGTACAAAGTCACCAATTAAAAGATTGGATTAAAAAAACAAAAAACAAAAAACAATATACTTCCTACAAGGGACTCATAGAAAAAGACATTCAGACTGGAGGTGAAGGGTTGGAAAAAATCATACCATTCACATGGACTGCGGAAGAATGTAAGGGTTTCCATCCTCATACCAAATAAAGTAGACTTCAAACTAAACTCAATCAAAAAGGATAAAGAAGGTCACTACATACTGCTCAAGGGAATCATACACCAACAAAACTTAACAATTATAAATATATATGCCCCAAACAATAGAGCATCTATGTTCATCAAACAAACCCTTCTCAATTTCAAGAGTCAAATAGACCACAACACAATAATTTTGGGTGACTTTAACACACCTCTTTCATCACTAGACAGATCTTCCAAAAAAAAGCTGAACAAAGAAACTACAGAACTCAAAAATACAATCAATAACTTAGACTTAACCAACATATATAGAATATTCCAACCTTCAACGAGAGAATATACTTTTATCTCAGCAGCACATGGATCCTTCTTTAAAAGTAGAGATACTACCCTGCATTCTATCAGATCATAATGGAATGAAATTAGAAATCAATGATAAAATAAGAAATAAAATCCACTCCAACACCTGGAAACTAAATAATATGCTACTGAATGAACATTGGGTTACAGAAGACATCAAGGAGGATTTAAAAAGTTCTTAGGGGTGAATGAGAACACAGATACAACATATTGAAATCTCTGGGATACTATGAAAGCAGTTCTAAGAGGAAAGTTCATTGCATGGAGTTCATTCCTTAAAAGAAGAAAAAGTCAATAAATGACCTCATACTACATCTCAAAGCCCTAGAAAAAGAAGAACAAATCAACACCCAAAGTAGCAGAAGACAGAATAAAATAGAAAATATTGAAGGCATCAAGAAATTTCTAGAGTCATATAATTTGCCCAAATTGAATCAGGATGATATACACAATTTAAACAGATCAATTTCAAGTGATGAGATACCAGGCACGATCAAAAGTCTACCAACCAGGAAAAGCCTTGGACCAGACGGATACACAGCTGAGTTCTACCAGACCTTTAAAGAAGAAC